TAATGACACTTGCATTATCGATGCTCACTTCCCTGACAGCTGTCGTTAGACGTTAGAGGCACGTCCGCAAATCACCACCGAGCAGTTTAACGACGAAAGAAACCGGTAATAACTACGTAACAAACCTAGAGTTGTGTTCCGCTGAGTTGATCAGATATATGACAGTGTTGCCAGCATTACTGATGTCACCAAACAGTCGCCATTTTGTTACAATGTTGTAGTTTACATGAATCCGACATGACGCTGATTACAATCCAATGGAGTCTCATTAAACCTTACCTTCACTAATGTGCCCTCCCTAACAACTTCAATATTGGCTGTAAAGACGAGATCCGATTTCTGGTTTGATAAAGCACATGTCAATCTTTATGTATGAGCTCATTCAAAGAGGCACGGCACTGGCTGTATGATCTGTCACTTCACTCAACTGACCCGCCTCTTAAGGTGCCTTCGGTGATGAATTGATATCATTTACCTCCCGCACTCATATTATCTGAACTTACAACTGCATCAGCAGCGACATAGACTATCCAGCCATAAATTCATTATAACAGTCATAAACTGGCTCAGCAGTAATTAAATGAGATAGATAACCTAATTTGCAACGCATTTAACGCCGGCCCACCTTTACTGAGATTCCTCCTTGAAACAGTTGGTTACACTTGAAAGTGATTTGGATCATTTTAGACTTTAATTGGCTGTTTGTTAAATCTATCATTTGTTTGCATAAACCCCACAAAGGCTCTAGTGCTGATTTAAAGTGGAACACATAAAATATTTTATTTATAAATTCCAGGTAGCATTGTTCAAGACTCCTGCAGGCTAAATGTGCCTAAGCTATCGCCTTTCCTCGTCTTTATCTTCCTCCCTTTTCATTATATCCCCGAGAGGAGCCGTAATTATCCAGATATTTAACATTCAAACTATGTGACGTTAAATTGAGGGCGATAAATAATTATTCCGTTAAGCTAAAAAGTAGGTTTTCTGCTCGCTTCACGTCTACCAGTGAAATTATTAACGTCCTGTGTTGCGCTGTGCAATGATGGCATGACCTCTTTATCACCATTAACTATCAGATATCTCCAATGAGTCAAAATAGTGAGCCCTGGAGGGGAAACGATGTTCAGGGGGGAATACAAGTTAACACCACTGCTGGGAGAGTAGCTCCTTCATCACTGCTTCTCACTTATGTATCGCTAATTTCTCCGCTTCGGCTCCGCTCTCGTTTTCCATATTATATTGGGAAATGATACACAGCCTCCTCGGATTTTCACACCGTTTTGTTAGATGTTACACAAACCGATCTAATTTGCCGAAGACGTGAGGGAGAACGCACAACAAATTAACGCCAAGTTTCATGCAAGGATGAACATATAACTAGTATGAAAGAAAAAAGAGGGCACAGGCTGCCGTAAATATTTGCTGGTAGTTTACCTCTTCAAGTTTTTCCCCCCCTCGGATACTCCTCTTCATTATCGGAGAAACGTCGAAGGATGAATGTGCGGCGACATATCCGAGCGATTTCGTGGGATTTGATCTCTTACAACGAAGGCTGAAAAGCTCGCGCCGAGACATGGAGAGGACCTGATAACAACTAATTGAAAGGTTAATCTACATAGCAGCCTGTGACAAAGTGGTACCCTCCCCCTTCTTCTTCTTCCACCGTAGACATCCCTACTTCAGTGTAGTGGAGCGGACCGTCGCCCCTTTAGTGCGCTCCCACAATGATATTGTCAGTTTCACTTTCCCCCCACTCTATCAACATGTCCAGTGATGAGCCAAGAGGAACATTTTTTACACTTTATGTTTCCGGTGGATTACTTCTGGCGGGCTACCTAACATTTTTAGGCTATATTATAACGCTCCTATTAACATTAATTCCTTATGGGCTTGTTTAACTTCCATTTATGTGCAGCTGATATAAAATCAAATGCGATTGCTTTTGACATAAACACATAAATCCAGACTTATTTTAAAAAGAGCTGCTTCTTGCACTAGCTAATATTACCCAGAGCACTATGGGATATTATACACTAACACCCCAATCTGCCAATTAACTTCACCATGCCCGAGGAAGAGCAGTAGTGGTTAGTAATAATGTAGATCATTAAATTTTCAGCCTTTAGATTTGTGCTCCCCTCGCTCATTCACAAACTCTTTAACAGCATTAGAAATGCCAGAAAACTCATTTTTCATGCAGTAATACAGATGTAATTAGAGGGATAATTGGTAACTTCCCATTAGATTATAAACACATGCTGCACTGTGCAGGCAGCGCTAAAAGATCTTAAATGAAAACACTGAACCCCCTAAAAAGACATATTTGATGTGTAATTTGATTTGCCCTCATTTATTGCTGCTTGGTCTCATCATTTTGCCATTATCTTCAGATGCACCTCTTATTATCTTGATGACCTTGTTGATAGATTTTATTTACCCGTGCGTCTGTGCCACATTTACTGTTTCAGTACATTCAGCACCTTCCTGACATTCAGTGCTTGATGCTTACTTAAATCTGCTTACTGACAATTTCATGCAAAATTTATGCAAATGTAAAGTTATTTATAGGTGCTGTTGTAAAATGATGTTGAAGTGGGTGAAATATGAATAAAAAGGATTCAGTATGTCATGATGGAGGCACTGACCAAACCTGCCTTGTCTGGTTATAATGAATGCCACCCTGGGCCCCAGCAGGTCCTCCACTGCTACATGGGTCCAGGGATAATTTGAATTGGAGCATGTGCCATTGCAATCTGCCCATCCCCCTCCTCAATCCCTGCCAACTGCCACACTGGTATTCACAAACACTGCTGCCCATCTGCGGGGCAAAACACTGGCCAGGGCCCCAGTTACTCCATTGCCTGCATTCAGAAAAATAAATTCTGGTAATAAACCCGCTTTGAAGGCAAATATCACAAAGTTGTTGTTTTTTTTCCATTTCCTAATTCAAAGTTCTTAACAGCGTATTTAACTCTAAACAATAAACGAAAAGAGATTTTGTAGAATGCTGCTACACAATAAAACTGACATTAAATTTTCAAAATGCCTTGGGCTCACTAGCTAACAAAACATAGTATTGTAAAATGTAAATTAAATGCACAGCTTTTATGTTTGTCTTGCATCCACTGAGCAAAGCAAAAGTTTACCAGGAATAGTGAGAAAAGTATGTTTAGTAGTTTCCTTATTGTGGCAGGCATTCTCATTACTTAATCATGGCTCCCTCTTTTTGTGTTTGTGTTTTGCCATCTGTCATCTTGAGAAGCAAATGAACCAGCTGCCATGGAGTGTGATCTTGCCCAATCAGAAATGTGGTCCTTTTCAAAGCGCATCTGTGTGAAACCTTAAAATGCTGATGAAAAAAAAAAAGTGTCTCAAAGTTGTTAATAACATTTTGGCTGGAGAATGTTTTCACCTAGATGCTCCTGATTAGCATAAATGTATAAACTATGCCTCATTACAGAAAACTGAGCTCTTGCGCAAGGAGTGTAAAACCTAGATTCCTCCTGACACTCAGAGAAAATGAAAGAAAATATGATGTAACAGGTTGTTAAAGGGAACAAAAATGTTATTTTCAATCACACTTCTTTGTAGAACAGATGAGTGATGAATTGTTTTCCACAAAAGACTTGAGACTCTGCCCAACACTTCTGCTGGCCCACAGCGAGTGAAACAGGGGGTGGGATGGGAGGGGCCTCTTTCCTCTGATCCTCGTCTCCAACCCCTAGCGACAGCACAGCTGGGTACGAAGGATCAGCCTAATTTTCGGGTCCCTCTAATGATCGCTACGAAGAGCAACCACTAATCCCATAACTAAGAAAAATCATCTCCTTTAGTCCTGCAGTGCAGCTCCAGACCCTGAGAGTCCAGTCAGGACCTAACGAGCGTGAGTGGGGGTGTCTGAGCGAAGCCAAGACACCAGGCTGGTTGTAGTTGCCTTTCTGCACAAACCCCTGATAATGGACAGTGCCCAGCAGTCCAGAAGTGATTAGCATGAGCAGTTTGTACATTTCTATTATTTAGGGAAATACACAAACTCTGTGTTATGTATTTTGTTCGTTGGGTGTACTAATAACAAACTGCCTGTAAAACACACTGCATATGTTGAGCCCGAATAAAGGTGTATCTTGGTAGGATGTGTTTCATATTGTTTTATTTGTATAATAACAAAAACATTTTTTCCCATTTTCCCATTCTCTTACTTTTGGAAATGAAAAGCCACCCAGCATGACAGCTGAATATTAAAGGAATACTCAACTGAAAATGTACTATACCATATTTTATAGCATATACGTATCACAACGCCCACCCCCTGCAGGCTTGAAAAAGGGCTCTACAAAATTTGTACCTGGCAGCTTTGTGAACGATGGCATTCATGGTTCACACTACTTCTGTGTCCCACTGTTGCCTTCTCATAGCTCAGAAGCTCCAAAGAAAGTAGTAAAATTAAGCTACTTAATGACTGATTGGAACATACTGAGCATAAGGATCAACATTAGAAAAGTGGCAGAGATGGCCTGACAAGTTTCTGTGGAGGTTTAAATTGGATTTTTGGCCTGGACTCTTGGTCACCATTAGAATTGATTGTAAAATGACCACGAAGGCGCAAGAACCAAACTTAACAGAATCTTATGTCCATAAAAACTTTTCAAACATATCCTAGAGGACAATGTGCTTCTCAACCAATAGGATTTTCAGTATGATCCAAACTGCTGCTTCTTTGCAAATAATCACTAAATGCACTACTTGCAGCAAAGCCTTTGAGCAATAAGGAGGTGATAAAGGGACACACTGGAGAAACTATGAGTCTGAAATGTACAGAACATATGGATCATTGCTGGACAAGTACCATAGGAGTGGATTAAAAAAAATTCTACATAAGTGACGATACATTTTGGTGTTTCGCCCAGCTTTTCAGGCCTATAGCTTCAGTTTTTGATACTCAAAAGATAGGTTTTCAGTAGAATGCTCTGTTAAATATAACCATATTATTCCAGTGTTTGATACTAGTACAATGAATTGTATTAAAACATCTGAGTTGCTAATTCGAGCTTGATAAAATATCTGAGCTGCAGCCATTAGTCCCATACAGTCAGTTTTTGTAAACAGAAAAGAATGTACATACAGTCCTGAAGCATATATATATAAGTATCTTATGGAAGAGAGAAATGTGCGGTGTCTGAATGCATCAGTGATAGTCTGGCTTCTCTGGGAAGGTGCATCCGACTCGTCTAATGATGACATTGGCGGCATAGTGTCCAGCCCGGATACACTCCTCCAAAGTTTGGTCTTGGACCAATGCGTAGAGGAATCCTGTGTAGACAGAACAGCAGAGGTCAACTTGTAATTGTCCATCGCCTCCAAAGTAATATGGGGAGCAGTTAGTATTAATATGAGTCAGGTATTAATGGCTTTTGAAAATGGGACTATGCTATGTCGCCCTCAATAGGACCCAAATAATGACCGTGGTGCTACAAACAGCGCCTACAGAGTAAGAACAGCAAACTTAATGTCACCCTCATATCATCTGGAGTTATTACTATGTTGCATAGTTGCCTAGTATCAAATGTTAATTGAGAACGTACACAGAAATATCAAACTGTGTAGAGTATAATTTTCATGCCATACCTCCCACGAAGGCGTCTCCTGCTCCATTAGTGTCCACAATGTCGTTCTGGTCGATATCCAAAACAGGGAACATGGTCACCTTCTCACCTGTGGTCAGGACACAGCAAGGCTGTAAATTAACACTGAACACAAGTGGGGGTTTTCACCCCCAAAGATTTGGCTCATCATTTTGTGATTGTAAGGTGATATTAGAAAATTCATCTCACACAGCAAGACTCTGTTATGATCAAAGATAACTGGTAATTATAGAACAGGAAACATTATGTACGTAGCACCATTATGGTTAACACAGCAGAGCGTCTGCTAGCAATACGGCTCTCTGGAAAATCTATGGATTAGCTCAACAACCAGTGAATGCAGTGCCATCAAATTGTTTTCAGGCATTTACAGAGTCCAAGAGGATGACACCCACAGACTATGGTGACTGGCCACTATGGTCGACATTTGTGGTTTTGAGTGAAATGTCTCAACAACTGGATGGACTGTACTGAAGTGTCAGGACAAACTTTAATCGGTTCCCTTAACTTCATTATCAGTTAGAATTTTTAATTTGTCCAGTATTTTGGTTTACAGCTGGAATCCCTGCAATACTAATGACTTCAGCTGTACTCTGTGTTTAGTACTAATTACCAAATGTTAGCATCCTGACACATTAAAAGCCAAATGGTGGCTATGGCAAATACATGTTTAGCATCAGCATGTTGCCATTGTCATTGTGAGCATATAAGCATCCTGTCTTGAGTATTTGGCTCAATGTTTCCGTGCCTACAGCCTCACACAGTCACTAGCATAGCAGCAGAGTTGAAGGCTTGCTTATTTAGTCTTTTCAGTCTACCAAATGTCAAATATAGTGAATAATGCCCATCACTAGTTCCCAGAGCCCAAGATGGCTTCTTTAAATTGTTTATTTTGCTAGACCAACAGTCCAAAAGCAGCATATACCAGCAATGAGAAGGTGGAATCAGCACATTTAGCATGTCTGCCTGATAAATGACAAACAGCTGATTTTGAACAATTTTTTCTGTTGATGCACAAATTGATTATTCAACTACTGTTTCAGCACAAATGACCGTGTAAATTAGATGCTACACTAATAAACACTTATGTAAATAAACTACTAGAATGTCCTGCAGTGGCTTTAAATAAATGCCTTAAATGCAACAATTAACAAATACAAAAACTCTCAGCATCTGCAAAGCTTTAGGTCAGTGCTCCGACGAATTAAAAATAACGCAAGGACAGTTACAGTGAGTTGTTTCAGTTCAAAACAAATTCCATTAAATGAGGGCCTCTTTTATTATCTTCAATGGATTATGCTGTTTCAATTATCAGTAGTATGTGCACTTCAAAGAGGCACAGGGAGGTGGTGGTGGGTGGAGGGGTCGGCAAAAATCTACCAGATGACAAAGTCTTGAGGTGTAGAGTGACATTAAATCACCAACTTATGTCAGAACAATCTAAACCACACACAAAATCATCAAACAATGTGAGGCAGAACCTTCAAAAAGGTGCCGCAGACAAAAGACTGACATGTGCATAAAAGCAACACAAGGAGGCTGACAGACCCCTTATTGAGGAAAAAGAGGTTGGGAGTTTAAGGAAAACATGAGAAAAAAGAACTACAAGAAAGTTTTTAATGAGGCTCCCTGCTAATCTAACAATGGTTCACAGAATATCTGAGCAGCAGATATGACACCCCACCTTATCACTTTTGAATACATTTCTGTTATCTTCCTACAGGGCAAAACATGCACAACCTGTAGTCGAGCATATGTTCACCACCTGATGTCAAGAAAATTAATGTAAGACACAACTGTGAGAGAAAGTTGGGGTTGAAAATGATGTCTTACAGAGCAGGATGCAACAGTTTTGTAGGTCAGGTGCCAAGGTTGTTTCAGATACAAAACTGTGTCTCTATAATGACATATTTTTTCCTTAAAGAGAGGCTGATTGTCACTTTGATAATAAATTACAATGAGACAAGAATCCTTTTAGGATCAGCTAATTAGTAGCATAACGACTTTCCTTAATTAATGCCACAGATGAAGCTTGAGAATCCTCCTCCCTCTTGAAATGATTAACCGCACATGAAAAATGTGCCAATAATGAATTACAGTTTGTCAATTATTCTACAGTTAAGAAACTCAAGTTGTTAGATGTGGCTATGCTTATGCAAAGCACTTTGCAACTATAAAACCAGATGCAATAAATCTGAAGCTTGTTACGCTTGTTCGGCACAGATTCTGCTGTTCATTTGACTCAAGAAACCAAGCAGAAATGTCTGTGTGTAAATATGGCAGTTAAAACAAATGCTTGCTCTCTTCTTTGTGGGTGGTACAGGAGTCGGGTCTTATTAGAAACACAGTTTGCACCCAGGTAACCTCTCACTTGAAGCGATGCTTATCTTTATGATAACACCGCATCGAAAGGTGTCAGAATTCATTAAACAAACGTCAGAATCTGTGAGACCTATTGCTGTTGTGGCAATTAGCAGTTCTGTTTTTGGATCTTTATTACATTTTTTAAAATTCACTGGAAATCGGCTCATTCTGTTATTGTATTTAAGTATACTGTACATCGGGCTGTCTTTGCTTTATTTTATTGTGTCTTATTACCAGGTTTTATGTTGATTTCTGTCTTATTTAACTCAACTAGTACCTCCAAGAATTTGTCATCTTGCAACCAAGAATGAATACAAATCTAATGATATTGGATAGATTTCAGTTATCTTCTAATCTTCACAAATTTTCCACAAACAATCTTTGTATGGGTGCTAGGTGGATTGCTAATAACATTAGACATTCATGGTTCCCAAAGGGTGAAATCTAATGGCTTTGGTGCTTCTGTGTCTTCTCCTCTAACCTGAATGTCTCAACAACTACTGGATATCTTGTCATAAAATTTAATGCAGATATTTATTGTCTTTAATGGATGAATTCTAATAATTCTGCTGAATAACTTGAATTTCACCAGGTCAAAAATGGTTTCTGTCCAGGACTGTGGTTGAACAAATTGTTTATGAACTAATGAAATTCCCAAATGCCTCTGCTGCACTAGCTAACAGCATGCTAACAGGCTAAACCAAGATGGCTAATATGGCAAACATGACATATTAGCATTGTCAGTGTGAGAATGTTAGCATGGTAATGCCAGCACATTTCTTACTTTCTGTTTAATCATCAAGTCAATTTACAATCACACACGTTTGGCTCAGAGGGTTTTTACCACCTATACAACACACAACAATCTTTCACCTCTCACCACATATCACTGCAGTTTCTAAAAAAAAGTCACATTTTAGTGCAGCTCACTGTGGGCTGCGTGATGTGATTGATGGCACATTACTTTTGTATTCCGTCTCTAGTAACATGGCACAACACACATCCCACATTGTCTTGCTTATTTCGTGAAAGTTTGTCCTCTAGCGCTAAGGGAAACGTTTACGTAACCTCTGATGCAAATTATTCAATCTGACTGACATGTTAAGTTATGGTCAAACAATGCCCCAGTCGTCCATGACAAAGATCTCATTGGCAAAAATCTGTTATAGAAATTGGCATTAAAAAAAGACTGCCCATGTTCTCTGACTCTGTTGATACTGGCTTACAGAAAGCCTGAAAACATCACTTTGCTGAACTCATTTCACATTTCGCCATAATGAGATCGGCAACATTGTTTTCAATCAATAAAACTCTGCTGTACTTTTTTTTTTTTTTTTTTTTTTAAAAGAAAACACTAACATACTCTAGCTCCTAGAAACTGGTCTGACAAAACGAGTGAAGCAGCAGCAGATCGGCGGTGAATATGTGGGAGTGATATATGGCTGTGCTTTGACAGGTAACCTGCAAAAAGCTGAGAAAAACTCGAAGGAATTCAAATAGTTCCTTATAGTAAGCTATAATTGTGTGCTTTTGTTAATCCACTCTTCATAATTCCCTCATTACAACTCTTGAATAGTGATGATTAAACTTAAGAAATTCTTAACAGGCATCTCTTTGAAATAAGTATCAATTAAGTCACTTATTACTGACTATTCTTTTCCACAGTGCCAATTCTCCACACAACACTGACTGAGAAAATGCTCTCCTGCACAAAAAAGCGACTGTACATGCAAATAAGACAACCTGAGTTATATTGGAAAATGAGCATATGGAGCATCGTTTTGACTTTGAAATTAGTACACGCTTCACTTGGAGATGTTCCAGTGCTCACTTCTGTTGCTTTGACAGAAAGCAGGTGGATCAAATAATTGGCAGGTCATTAAAATCTGATCCTGTCACACTTTATGATCTACACAGGTAAAACAATCAATACATCATTTCAAACCCTGAGCTGCCAAGTGACTCAGTTACATATGACTGTTTTGCTAAAAGGCAAATGCTGAAGTACTTGGAGTTTAAGTACAACATCTTTATGTGAGAAACTTCTTCTGGAACATTTCTTGTTGCATATCAGCCAAACTCTGAGCCTCGGAGGGGAAAAGCAACGTTACCACTTTCTTGGCAAACACAACAGGTTAGGAGCAAGTTGACATTCAATCTGTTTCCTGATCATAACCAGCATCTCTGCTCACAGCTGAGATAGAAAAAAATGCACATGCCTATAATTACTGTAACCACAGGCAAAAGATCATCACCAACCAACATCCTTTTAGAAAGACAGGAAAGAAAACCATTCAGTGTGAGATGCCATGGGAAAAAAGATGAAGGCTTTCTCAGAGTGCTGTTAAATGAAACAAACATGCTGCTTTTTTTAGCAGACTATTAACATTTATTTTTCAAGCAGTGCTTAAAATAATTTAACCTTTGGTGAGAATGACAAATCACCCGTTTTGAAGAAATAGACTAAAAGAAAAAAGGATTTTGCCTTGTGGCCAGCGTTTTAGTTTACCTTGAGTGATTAACATGTATAGATCAGGCCTTTTTTCCAAAGGTAAAATCTGCTTGCCTTGCCCTCCTGAGAGCCCTAAAACTCGCTGAGAAGCCGAGTCAGGCTTTATCAAGTCCTTATCAGCGATTAGAGCAGCAACCCCTGCTGAATGATCGTTTATTAGATCTCCTCAACGCTAAGGTTCAGGGCACAATGATCTTAATTACTGCTTTAATGGGTGTATAAGCAAAAGCCCACTGTAGTTCAGCAGTTCAGTGGCAGCTAAATAAAGGGCCATTTCCCCTGCTCCCAGCTCTTAAAAGGCATGTTTGAAGCAGTGGTGTGATGAAAGGCTCCAAATGAAAGACAGAAAAAAAGAGGACAATAACAAATTGACATCTCTTTTTGGAGAATTATACCATAGGGGAAAGGCTTCTCCCATCCTTAATCACTATAAAATGGTTTAACATGACATGCAGAGGCTGGCAAATGATCAAATACTGACAGGAGGACAAATTGCAAACAAAATGAGAGATCAAGTTTATTAGAGCGCCGCCTCTGGGAAATGAAAATCTTTAATTCTCTTTTTACATTGACATTTATTTGGCTTGCATGAATAGCGATGTTCCCACACTCACATACACACACCAGTTCTGCTGCACCTTGTACTATAACTGCTCCACTGCAATGATAGCACAGTCAATGACATTTATCATGTTTGCCTTTGTAGATGACATCTGAAACACATTGTCTTTCATCGTGCTTGCATTCATCATGTATTTTATATAAAGTTCACAGCGGCGCACAGCTCTGTCTTCATGCAGGAGCAATGTGAGAAGCAGGCAGGAATTATCCATCACCTCCAGCACAATGGATGGATTCCTGTTGGGCTTCTGCTTAAAGATTTCTTGTGAAATTCTCATGAAAGGAAATTCACTTCCACGAATGTTACCAGACTATCTTGGCCTGTTAATATATATGCAATTATCTAAGACTAGGCAATAACTCAGTATGTTCATTTATTGACTTGAATTGTACTGGAATGATATTATCACATCACACTGTTAACTTTCAAAACTGTGCTTTTTAAAAAATAAACATTTCCAATCAAGTCATGAAGTCTGTTCTACAGGCTTGAAGAGTTTTGTCTGAAATAATGCATTAAGAATTAACAAACACCAACAGCATGTAATGTGCATCAGAACAACCATGGATACAGTTTTTATTCAGTCTATGCACCCATGGCTTCAAGTTATTTTATCTCTAGTAGTTATTTTTGCAGAGATGCACCAGAACATCAGCAATTTCATTGAAATTGTTCCCAAGATTTGCATATCCCAGCTATAAGATCATGACTACTTGCATGTATATGGTGTATCCTATGGATGTATTAACAGGGAACTGGATACAGCATTGCCAGATGGCGCCTATTCAATCCTATGGATGTTGTTCAGTGGCACATAATTGTCAAACTTCCAGATTCCAGCCATAAAAATTACCTGGATGTTCTGCACACTTCTGCTTTTTGGGCCCATAAAGCATGTGTACTTGCACTGAGCTGAAAGTCTCACTGGACAAACCGGGTCATTTCTGGTTGGATAAAAATATCCTATGGTTAAACTAGACTTTCCAAATGATACTAGACCCAGTGAATCAAATTCTGATAATAAAAAGAGTCATTTCGTAGGGTTTGTGATGCTCGAAAAAATGTATTCACCATTTCACAGCCGCTACTTTTCCAGTGACTCTCTATGTGAAAAATGCTTTTTGGGTCAGTGGGCATCGCATGATGAATGTGAACGCTGTAGTAACATCGTTTGGCCGCTATGCCAGTTCGGTGCTGTTGCTGGGGGCTTGGTTTGTCCAGTAAGTGCTATGGATGTCAAACATCGCAACACTGCACAGTGTGGCTGGCTGCCTTTAGGCATGGAATTCAGTGCACTGAACATCAGTTCAATTTGTATTCATAATTTTGCACACTTTTGGCATGCTGTGACATATATGTATATTGTAATAATACTTATTAATAGTGATATTAATTTTAACTATACAACTTATTACTGTATCATTTTTCTTCTTATTTTATTTAATTAAACCTACACTAACTGATTTTTTTGGCCAATTAGTGTCAAAGGAAACAAGGTGTAAATACAACACTTGCTGGTAAACAATGGTTTAAATACACATCCGGCAGATACAGAGAAATATCAGCATTCATTTAGAGTTGTGCTAGTTGACGCCTGATGCAAGGTTTAACACCGACTCTCTTTTTTAGATCTGTGTTCGCTCTCCTGCTCCTGAGGGAGCTTTGTCTCTCTGCTGTTTGGTGCTTTACAAGTAGTTTACAGTGAGTTAATCACAGTTTTAGCTTCTTGTGGTTGTAAACAATGCTGATGAGAGTGTTGAGAGTGTTAACAAACCCACTGTTAATATAAAAGCATTGATTACGGCCACTTTAAACTTTTTTACAAAGATAGATCTCTTGAAAGTCCTGACCAAAATGGCAGAACAGATTATAGAAAAAAATATCACAACAGAAAACACATAAAGGAGTCAATTAATTATTGATTACCATCAGTGACATACAATACAAAGCTTGAGCTCATAAATACTCTTGCTGAAGAGAGTGTCTTGCAGCGCTAACAACAGTCCTGCTGTAGCTGTGCTTCTCTGCAGTCCCCAGCGATGAGTGATATGTTGGAATCTTTACCTGAGGCCATCTCTCCCCATGAACAACTAGTCTGAACTGCAAGGGCAATGAGGAGACACACCCTGCGGCTCCGAACAAAGGCAAAGACTCTCAGCAGTAATCGGAAACTGTTGTCTCTCCCCACACCGCTTAAACCTGCAACTCCTGCTCAGTTATGATGACACTGCCTTTTAATGCCCCACTAACAAATATGCCCTGTATCTGAGAAAACTGGATTGATTTGAAGACCAGTGTTGTCAACCTCTCCCCAAGGTCACTGTGCCAGCATTTTGCAGAAAAAAGGGGCAGGATATATGAAGTGGAACATTAAAAATTGCTGAGGACTGACCTGGAGTCTGTCCAAGACAAAGTTAGAAGTACTTCACAAATCAATGCCTGCTCTCTGCATCCCCCACACTTCTTTTATCCTCTGAAATGACTGAATGTTGTGCAAGCATTCCTTTTTTTAACATCTGGTGTCAATATCGGAGGTTAACTTCAAAGAAATTACTGATAGCGTTCGGCTCTCTTCAGTCAGCATTCTAGCATCTATTTAAGGCTGTGTTGTGCAGTTTGGAGATATGAGGTTTAAATAAAGGGTAAAGTTGTCCACGAGGGGCCAAAGTTGGGATGGCGTCGAGTGGTACTTAAGTGAAAATATGTGTAGACAAGTGGACAAAATGGAAACCAAAATTGGCCTACCAACAGTTGCAACAGTATCGTCCTTGCCCTGGGTGAAGACCACCACTCGCTGCCTCTTTGTGTTCTCCTTGGGGAGGTTTCGAGTCTTCTTTGCAATCTCTGCAATGTCATCCGTCTGGAAATACAACAGAGCACTGGGTGAGCATATTAAGTTGAATAAATGCATCAGGAAAGGAGTTAATCAAAGATCACAAGTGTGACAGAGAGGTCAGATTTTTGCGATCCTGGCAGATGGATCAAGTGATAATGGAACCAGATGGGCTGTGAAGACAGATCAATAGAGGCACTTGATGATGCTACCATGCAGTTACACAAGACCTGCAAAATATTAGAATGTCATAGTCCCTAAGTGAGATGAAAATGAGCGTGTGAAGATATGCTGTTGTCAGATAAAGCTACTTCTCTGTGCTGAAGGGATAGGTGGTGCATGTACTGTATCATTCTCCTCCTGAAACAGGCCATCTCTCCTCAGCATCTGCACAGAATAGATATTCTCGCCTGGAGACGACAAAACTCTCTGGAGTGCTTGCCTTTGATCATGAGAGGGATAAAAAACCCACACCTGTCAGTGCTACTTTATTATTAACTCATCATGATGTACTATGAGCAGGTGGAATGTCTTTATCGCCGTCTCACAGTCGGGTGGACTCTGCTTTTCTGTAATATAGCACACTGAGGAGCTAGCATTAAGGGTCGTAGATGCCTCTAGCATCTGTATCAAAGCTAACACTCAAACACCTTCATGGTGAGCAAATACTGTGGTTATGGGAGTAATCAGATAGATAGGCTCCAGCCCAGTACCGCCAGCCGCACTGGCTCACTCAAACCAATGAGCTTTTACACCTCTAAATGCTTCCCAAATGTCCTTTAATCAGCCCTGAGATGTCCAGGGAGACCCTGGGCTGAGAAAAAAAATGGGTGTAACACTCTAAGTAAGTGCTAATGGTGAGGTTAATACAGAGGCTGTTAGCAGACGATGGAGAACGAAAGGCAATCTGTCACTGTGACTGGATGTAAGCACAATCACTCCTCCAGACACTGAATGCAAAACCGCGCATTGTCGATTTTATGTTCGCTGACTTAAGGAAGGCACTCTACTCAGGTTTAGGAGCTAAAAGGTTCTAAGGGCCAGAGGTGGTGGGATAAGCACATACAAAATCACACAGTCACAACTTCCTCCTTTTTTTTTTTTTTACCTGAAACACTTACCTGACAGCTTCCTACAGCAAAACAATGCAAAAAATAGTGTTCTGTATGATAGCAAAACAAATGAATGGGCAAGTGATACGGTCAATTTGGCTTGCTGCTGACAAATGGCAATATTTATGATTGTGAGGCAATTGATCAGACATAAATCAACAAACCGTGAAATATGAAAGCTTTACAAGGGTGTTAAATTGTGTTTCTGTGTTGAAGCCAGTGAGAAACTGATTGTATCCACTGCAGGCTGCTTGAGAAACACAGCCAGGGAAAGATTCAATTAGAGCTGCGATGCAGATAGTTCTCTGAGCATTTAAAGGAAACGGATCACAATCAGGCAACTGTGCTCAGATCTGATGACTCCTGTTTGGATGGGACACACTTGTTATCTTGTTTTTATACTGAAGCAGTGCTGCTGTTGTTTTTGTTATTCATCCATAATGTGATGATAACAGTGCTGCAGAATACATTCAAAGTGCATCCTACAGTGTTTTTGGGGTCAGATATTGACAAGTGGGCAGTCACTACAACAATATCCAATTATGGCATCACCGGAAAGGGCCACACTGACCAGTTAACTGGACTGTAACTGAATTTAAATGACCCTCACTGGCCTGAAAAGAATCAAACTATATACAGAGGCACTTCTGTACACTGGGTTTCTGACAGCAATGACTGTATTTTGTAGTATTTTCTGTACTACAGCTCTGTTTTTGTTTATTAGCTTATAAGAGAATTATATATATTACAGCTAATTAAATTGATTTATTTTACTGATTGTTGGATGTGATGCGAAAGATGATCTTTTAACCAACTCCGTGACAAGTGGGCAACTCCTTCTGGTGAAGAAACCCACATGATTTGGCTGAAAGTTCTGGAAAATTTCTAGTAAGAAGGTGCCTGCATGCACCGACAAAGCAAAGATGCCAAAAAATAAATTTATTACATGTGCGACAAGTGATAAAACGAAGACATGTCAGTGTGTAGGCACTTTTTTTTGTGGCTTTTTACCTATGTGGAACATGTTTTTTGGCACCTGACATATTTTTTGAAAAGCCTGGAATTATGAGGGAGAGACAATTTTTAAATTTCAAATAAATGATTGTGCTAAGAATTAGTTGTCAAACTACTATTTCCCAGATAAGTAATTAATCTTGAAGTTCATGATTTTTGATTACTGAATGTGGTTTGGAAAAACATTCTTATTCTACGCATTTCAACCGTATCCCAGAGAACGAGTATATTGCGTATGTGTGAATGACAAATTTCATGCAATTTTACTAACGCTACGACGTATCTGTTTAACTACAAGCTACTGCACTGTATATATTGACATTTTGATGACATGTCAGTGTACAACTAAAACATGTGTGCCCCCTCGATGCATGTAAAAATGTCATCAGAAAGTGACGAGGGGGAAAAAAGGCAATAAATCCTCTGAACTACAACCACCTAGAAATGCAGTAAGCACAGCACACACCACTGATGTTACCTGAAAAATCACATTCATCCAATGCAATTTTGTAGTGTTCTGGCAAATCAGGTTGACGTAGAAAATGTCAAAGAATTGTAACTACTAGGAAAGTGTACATTTTGCCCTTTGTGGTTTTTTTTTTTTCCATGTGAGGCCCCCTCCATCACCACCTGCCACCCCCCTTTCTGCCTTCATCCCCTCTCCTCTCTTAAACCTGTCACTGCCATCGGAATTGCATTTCTATTCCAGTCACGTTGATCACACCGTTAGTGATTCTGGATGACAATTATTCACACAGAGCAGAGCCATATTCAAGGCAGCTCTACCTTTGAAAAAGAAGGCACTTGAAATACCTGAGCCTGTTTTGAAAAACACACACACACACACACACACACACACACAACCACACGCACGCACACAGTGGCTATTTGTGTTTTTGATTTCACATTTTAAAAGCATCACAAGGAATATGCAAAAATACAAGCAAAAAATAGACTAAGAGAAGATTCATTTTCCACTTAAGAGGCAGCCCCACTTTAAAACATGTAGTGTACGCTCTATGGAGGAACAAGAACTGTAATTTTCATTTCTATAATCCAAAACCACAGGTGGCTGTAATTTGGTTATTAAAAGACTACAGTGTGTTTCAGTGTGGTGTAATGTTATAGCAGTGAAGGGAAGACATACAGTATCATCCCTGACTGCAATGAAGATAATGAGGAGGCTTTTTAACCAGGCAACCTGATGAGCCCCGAGCCTGCAGAGAAAGGCTTGAAACCATGCCCAACTTCTCAGCTTCCCAAGAGGCTTTTCAAAATTCAATAAATAACATCTGTAGGCGATGTTGGGTGCAGACCTAGCAGAGTGCGTCATAACAGAGAGCTGGCTGAACAAAGAAACCATGACGACTGCCAGGTTTCCATAGCAACTGCTGCAAGGCCTGGAGAGTATAATAGCACATCAATCACTGTCCAAAAAGAACTTCATTATCAGCAAAAATAAACCTTTAGGATCTGTTTAGTGTGCAATTGCTGGTCAACTCACCTCAAAGCCCAGCTTTTTGGCAAATGTGGCTGCTTCCTAGAAAAAAAAAAACAAACACACACACAAATGAGCAGTTAATTACAGAGTCACAAACAGCAGAATGCAACACTCCAGACTTAAAGTAAAGATATCTCGTTTCCCTCTGCTCTTCACATGTGGCTGTGTCACTTGAGAATAAGTAACCTGAGTTAGTGTTGCTCAGCCAACTCCTGATTTAATAGGCATGCAGCCCACCCATTTAATGTATTGGCCAATTCATCTCATCTTACCACAGCACCATGAGATAACACCATGTCAGCCTCCAGCCATGAAACCACGACTGAAATCATGAATATGTGCTGGTATGTGGGAATCCCCAACACTGCGGGTATTCAGGCCCTACTATGTTTATTCTCTGATCAGGTGCACTTTAAAGGCACATACCAGTGTTTATGCAAGTATGGCCTCCTTTACTACAGTTCATGTAAACTTTACATTGATACTGACCTTTTTCAAATATAAATCAACCAGAAGATACTGCAAAATTAATATTTTTCTATTAACCAAAATAAAAAAAGAAAATAAAAAATAATTTTCTTTTTTGGAATTTTCAAATTTTTCAAATCTGCAATTTATGCAATTTTCAGGTTTCATGGATAACATGAGTTTTATGATGAAAGGTGTCTGGAAAGTTTGGAAAAATTCAGAATACATTTAAAAATGACCAACAAAAAATTAATATTATATTAATAAAAAAAATGTCAAGCTGTACCAAAGATGATTCTCATAAGTTACCTAATTGATTTTCATATTATACAGAAATGAATGGTGGAAGGAGTACTCAGATCCCTTAAGTAAAAGTAACAATACTACAGTGCAAAAATACCCTGTTATAAGCAAAAGTTCTGCATTCAAAATGTTACTTAAGTAATTGCACAGAAGTATTAGCATCACAACACAATTAAAATACTAAAAGTACTCATTATAAGGAATGGCACATTTAACATATATTATTGGATTATTATTACTGATGCATTATTATGTACATCACATTTATTGTTGCAGCTGGTAAAGGTACCTTATATACAGGTTGAAGTAGTCTGTTGCTGGGTAGCTTATGACTTTCCCAGCAGGGATCAATAAAGCCTTATACTCTGATTCAGAAAAGTAACTAAAGTTATCAAATAAATGTAGTGGAGTAAAAAGTGCAATATTTGCCTCTAAAATGTAGTGAAGTCAAAGTATGAAGTAGCAGAAAATGAAAATGCTCAAGTAAAGTACAGATACCTCAAAAATGTACTTAAGTACAGTACTTGAGTAAATGTATTTAGTTATTTTCCACCACTTAACAAAACGACATGTATATATTTAACCAGTACTTTTGGGACATATGGCTGCTAATTGACTTCTCATATTATTGAGAAATGAAAGGAGGCCAAGGGACATTTATCATGGTAGGGAACATACAGAACATCCAAAATCTAAAACACACTACATGATGGTTTGCGAAATGGCTCACTGTGATGCCCAGTTTGTAGTAAATCAGCCAAAACAGTGGTGCTAAACCACTGCTATGATCCTTTAACTCATGGCAGAAGCTGCTGCTCATCAGTTCAGAAGGATGCCACAAATCATGACAGACAACCTTGTGCACTAAATTCACTTCTGACCCCAGATGAGGCAGTAAGTTGATGCTCTGATTTTAAATAATCCAATTATCTGTAGAGGGGGTACTAGTGTTTGCATGACCTCGGGAAGAGGTTGACAACCTGGTCCTCAAACAGAAGGGTAGGAGACGACAAAGAACAATAAGGTTACTGGTCCCTGGAGGAAAGCCTCATGGCTCTCTGCCTTGGATCAACATGACAGTGCCAGCAGTATGTCAATTCATAACCCCCCTCCTTCTGCTTAAACACACACAGAGGCTGAGAGGCTAGTCAATTAGCCTTTATGAGTAAAGGTGAGTAGTCCTTTCTTTTCCCCTCCCTTCTTCAGTCTATCAAGGCCTTAGGTCTCACATTTGTTTTCATTTATTTACAACCACATATTGACTTTTCTCCTCAGGAACATTCCATCAGTGATGAGCATGAGGCATCTGCAGCTTGTAAACTGTCTTGTCAAAACAGTAATACTTCATCTTAAAGCACAAAGACACATGAATGAAGACTGGAATAATGATGGTGCTGTCGAGTGGCACATGCATCTACTGTATCTCACCCTCTGTCTTTCTCTAGATAGCAGCTATAATATTTGTGAGAAAAGCCTTTCGAGAGAGTGTGGGTGTTAGAAGAAAAGATAATTGAAGCAGTGTCTATGAGCCACATGTGTACAATGTAATCCCTTTTAGGAATTTATTAATTCTATGAGCTCTTATGAATGCCAACATTATAAACATTTCATACTACAGGCTCAGCTAAACCTAGAATATTGGAATGATAAATACTGTATGGTGGTAAATATGCAATTACTGAGACTACACAGGCAAGCCAATAAAGCTGAAATGATAGGCAATAACAGTCACTATTCCTAAAGGGGCAATAATATTTAAAAACATAGCAGCATTAATAACCTAGCATTAATACTCAAAAAGGTTATGTTACTGGCTGCTTTGACATGAATATTTGACATGTTTTGTTTTATTATGTTGAGGTAGACAGTTTTCAAATGATGGTCCATGAGCTTCTACAGCTGTCGGCAACAATGACGAGTGCTTTGAGAGACATCTGGGCAAAATCCTCTTGTGCTCAAAAAACTCATCTCATTTGTTTGACGAATGCTGCGACTGAATGCTCGCTTTTGATGATCTGCTCCGAGTCGGACTCCGAAGGAGAGAGGTCTGTTGCAGATTTGGGGAGAGGGGCCCATAAGTCCTCCTCCTTCTCCTCCTCAGGCAAACAAGGTAAAAGATAACAAAATGGACTGAGTGCATGAGCCCTCTACAGCCATAGTATAAAGCTATCAGAATGTGTGATATGTTGCTGCTGTCAGAGGCTTAAACAGTCAAAGGGATATTTTTAGAGAGCTTAAGCTAATAATCCAGAGCCCAGTCAGGGAGGCGGGAGTCTACAATTTCTTGCCAAGCAAAATGAAAGAGGAAATATACACTTCATGCAAGGGGCAGTTTTCAAAGCTTCACACTGTGTTTTCCTTGACACTGTAAATGACGGGAGCCTAGCAGGCTTGGTTTAGAAACCATCTGTGCAGTCACAGTATGTGGTTATTCTATGTGAGGTTATCCATGACGCTATGTTCTTTGTTTTAATGAGCCAAAATGCCGAATCTGCATTCAGACTTTAATATAATCTCATTAACAGAGAAGCAAAGCAGGCATTCAGGGTTCTGGAGTAAGGATCCTATTCATTTTCACACTGATGATGTTACAGTAGGTGACACACAGCTGGGACACTGAGGCTTGAACGCAATTTAGACACAAGTTGAATTATTAGTACAGACTATGAGAAAGCATTGTAAAATCTTAGTTCAACAACAAGTCAAACGGCACAAGACTGCATGTATGTACACACAAACACAAAACATAGGCTAGAAGTCAAATACAACTCCCAGTGAACACTGTGGTTGAAAAACATATGTCCTGTAGTATTTAGGGCAGTTTACCACACCAAACCTTTCTTTCTACCACACCAAACCCACAGCAAAATACTACTACTTGGAAGTGGCAAACAAGTTACAGACACAACTGTGACAAGTTTTCAGTTTTGAAGTGAAAAGAAATGAAGCTGATGTTGCTTATATACTAGGGATGTAACGATATCAAAAGTCACGGTCCAATACTGGCACAATAAAAAGTCCGCAATATTTATCATGATATTTAAATATGAAGAAAAATATGAAAAAATGCCCCTTACTAAAAAATAAATAAGCTTTTTTTGTATAATGTATATAAATACATATAAAGATAATGCAACAGTCAGCAGCACTCCTTCTATGAAAACAAAATAATATATTATTGCATCAGCTGGATGTTGTAAACAAAATGAGACATACTCATCAGTATTTTAGAAGCCCATAGGTAGGTTTAACCTTCTCCGTTTGGTGGCCGTGCCAACCAGTATCTCAGAACGAGGAGAAGAAAATGCCAAAATACATTAGAACAAGTCATGCAAAGGTGAGATTTGTGGTTTGCTGGAGATGTTTTTCAAACATCGTAGTCTACTTTTTCAAAAGAAAACACTTAATGGCAGCTGCTAAGTGTTTGGTTTTGCATATGTCCATCCATCCAGTTCCGTTAAAGTGTAGTACATAGCTGTGTCTACCCTGATCTTGGGCTCCACCAACTCCTGAGAAAAATGTACGTCAAAGCTATTGATTATAGCTGCTTTAAATATTTATATCCAATGGACATAACATAATACAACTTGAAGTAACGAAGTAGGGTAATGTAAGAGAACTTAAAAATGCTGATTTACAGCAGCCAAAAATACTTTCATACTTTCACTACACTGCATTTCATAACATTTAATGCATGTTTGGACATCCAATAGACAAGGAATTAAGAAAACAAGAAAACTAGAGAGGTTACTGGCTCTCATGATGAAATATCCCCACTAACAAACCAAAACAGGCATTTAGTTTTTCCTCCTGTTTGACAAATTGTTGAGCATATGTCACAGCAGGAGTGAAAGTTGATGGGAAAAAAATCCAATTTCAGTGTTTTCCAGAGAATCTAAATCAAAGAGCAAACCTCAGTGCTAAGGTTAATAAAAGTTGATAAGCTGAAAAGCGCAACTCCCCCAGGCCATTCAGAAAATAGGCATTTGCTTGACCGTGTTAGCCCAAGCTGATGCTGAGGCAGAAACTGAATTGTATTTGACACTGTGCTTTGGGGTGGGCATGACACTGAGGAGGGTATAGCTGTGGCCAGTTATTTACAGTAACACCCCTATTTTCTTCTTCCTTTATGGGCATTTCAATAAGAGCTCATTTCAAAGACACTGGTGTTTTCAGCTTAGAACCATTGAAGGAGAGAGCCAACTTGCACTACTATAGAAAAGTGCCTTTCTAACCGGCTCAGTTGTCAAACAGCATAAACTAGTGGG